TTCTCAAGCATGAATACAAAATCAGTCTTTTTGCAGACGACATTATATTAATGATTACAAACCCCTATAAATCGCTTATTTCAATACGCTCACACATACATGCCTATGCAGATGTTTTCATATTATAAACTTAACAAACCCAAGTCCTCTATCTTAAACCTTTACACCCCTGCTCCGACCCAAACCCTGCTTACAAAACGATTCCCTTTTAAATGGGAACCACATAATATACCCTATCTGGGAATTAAACTAACTCCTAAAACCAACCAACTCTACGCAGCCAATTTTAAACCGTTACTTGACACAATTCCGCGGGAGATTAAGAGCTTACGTACAACCACTTTATCAATGTTAGGCAGAATAGCTACTATCAAAATGTGCATATTACCTAAAAAATATTATATATCTTCCATACACTACCTATTCCTATACCCTCCTCCTTCTTCTCTACACTGCAAAAAATTCTAAATAAATTCCTATGGAACTCCAAACGGGCTAGATGCTCCACAAACCTCCTGATCCGTCCTCCTTCCAGAGGAGGAGCCGGCCTCCCACATTTAAAATCCTATTACCAAGCGGTCTTATTGGACCAGCTCTTCTACTGGTGGCACCCTACCCATGACAAAACGTGGACAGTCATGGAAGCTTCCTTGTACCCGTCAGGTGCCCTGTCAGATCTATTATTTACGCCACGTACAACGCAAACTGGACCTCTACACACACACCCTTGTATCCAGGCCTCTCTGATAGCTTGGCATGATTTCCTAACACATACTCATTCACACAAGTCTAACATACGAATGCCTACCCCAATATCTTCTCTGCAGCTCCTATCCCCCCATTTGAACCTCACATCTTGGAGAGCGTTTGGCATACAGTATATCCAAGATATCTACAACATTCATACACCAGATTCTTTCCAAACTCTTCAGAAGAAATTTCATCTTCCTGATACGGAACTATTTACTTTTATGAGACTATCCCATTTACTCCATAGAATAAACATACCACTTGAAATTGACCTCCCTGCTACTGCGCACACCATTTCTTCCACAAGACTATTTACCCAAAGAAAGGAATTTCTACCTTCTATACATTACTAACCGAAGCACTTTTTATAACCCATACATCATCCTTGACTAACTGGGAGAAGACTCTGATCCTCCCAACAACTCCGCAATCTTGGCAAACAACCTTTACCATCACATACAAAGCCTCGAAATGTAGTTCCCACTGGGAATCATATTTGAAAATTCTTCACCAATGCTATTTAACCCCTACCAAATTATCTTTATACTATCCACATCAATCACAAACCTGCTGGAGACATTGTGGCGAAAGTGGCTCGCTCTTTCATTTGCTCTGGTCATGCAAATCCCTCAAGTCGTATTGGAATAAAGTGTTCCAAATAATCTCGTCAGTCTCAAGTTTACCAACATCCCCAAATCCCGCTATAGCACTCCTTCATTTAACAATAGAAAAATTTCCCGTACGTTCACGCATCATTATAATACACATCCTAGTAGCAGCAAAGACCAACATTACAAAATTATGGCGATCTACGTCACCTCCCCTACTATCCCGTCTAGTTGCTGATCTCAACTTACAATGTGAGATGGAACGCAGAACGGCCCTCAGAAACTCTTCCTACCATAAATTTATACTACACTGGTCTCGATGGTTAAAACACCCCAATTGCTCAATTACCTGATTACTAACCATAACTCTTATAGGATCCTATATTTGTAGCTCATCGGTGCCCTTTTATCCCCCTCTCCTTCTTTCCTTTTTCCCTCTCTCTATTACTACCTAGTCCCTTATGTTTCACGTTTTTTTTTTTTAGTACGGTTCACAAACCAACGAGCATACCTCTCATGTAAACATGATTACGGAAAATCGGGGGAAAATCGGGCTAGTAGGAGGTCGGTTACATCTTTTTGCATTGCATATGCTGTTAATCTCCTAATGTGAACCTTGTACTCGACTTTTTCTATACAATGTTATGTTTTTTGGAGAAAGGTGAGGATGAGGGAGGAGTTCCTGACCTTCGCGTACAAGTCAAGTATGAAATCTTCTCCTTCGGAGAGATAATCTGAGAGGAATGTGCATCAGCTGACTGGACAATTTTACCAAGGCCATCTTGTGAGTCTTCCCATTCAAAAACTGGGAAGTACTCTGTGAGTTTCCACAGCTTTGATTATTTCAGCTTGTGGTTGAGTAATGCCCCATGTGATTGTGATTTCAGGGCTGGTCCCCAATAGGGACAAAAACACCTGCAAATGTAATGAGTTGGTAAATGGAGCAGGATTATGAGCGCTGGAACTTTTATGCCATTTTGGTTCAGCAGCCAAGCCATGTCCCCTTTCCTCCAGGTTCTTATCTGGTACACTGTACAGTTCTATTATAATTTTGTATAAACTAAAAAACATTTTTCCCAAAATATTGAAATCTGATTTTCCAGTCCCTGTGATATTTATCATGTACCAAGAAAGTGAAAATGAAAATGCACAACTATAACATAAACTATATAAACTATAAAAACTATGTTTCAAATGTTTGAATTAATATGTCCCAACAGTTTAGGCTTACAATCCTTTTAGGATAGATGATTAATCCCTTATGTAATCACCATGGTTTGAAAATTGCACCTGCCCAACCAATGCAGAAACAATATATGGGGAACATTACATAAGCAAGTATAAAACCTTAGAAAAAGCCAACATGCCTGTACTAAGCAGGTTCTACTTACTTGACACTGCCATGATTATGAAAACCTTTTGTCCTATGAAACTACAACTACTAGATTGTTTCTAACAGCCATACACAAGGTAAAATTGTTATTTTTCTCCCTGCAATTTGTTTTGGGGGGAGATGTTTGGATTTGTGACATGCAAGCATATTTTCTTCTATACATCACAGATTCACAACCGTTATTTAAAAATGAGGAAAGTTATTGAGCTTTACTTTGGGACCTAATTCCAGCAAACTAATTTTATTTTGCTATACTTAAGTGTGTGTTCAGTCAAAATGTTTTTTTTCTTATAGTGTGGGTAAGGATTAAAACCTCTGTTGAATTTTGAATGATCTTTGAGGCTCTGTCATATGCTTTCAGTAATGTTCAAAATGCATTCTATTTTTTACAACACTTAGTTGCTTCCATTTTAGAACAACTATTCTATCACAGAAAATTTGGATACAGCAGCTCTATTGCATCTTCTCAGTCCCCAAGATCATATGACCAAAGGGGTGATCTACAGAGCTGCAGTTTTCTATTTACTTTGGTCGTTGTGTAAATGCTGCTTATATACCATGTGAGAATCATTCTTTTCTCTATATAAATTGGGAAGGTCATTATACAGTACAATATACAGTATGTGTGTAACAATAATTGCTTCTAGCATTTAGAACAGCTAATTATAAATATCTTACAAAACCCCAAATTGGTTTGATAGTCTCCAGTATCTTGTTAGCAGTGCTCAAATTTGTTGCATTGCTTCTAGCCACTGGGCCACATCTACAGTAAGCCTACTAATTTTGTGAATTCATTGTAACCAGTAGATTCCCATCTTCCCTGCTTTTTCCTGATTTTAATAGGTTTTCTATGCTATGTCTTTGTCTGTCTCTGGAGATTATTTAAAGGACAACTGTACTTTTACAGAAAAATCTGTAAACCTACTAAACCAACTTACTATAACACCCCTTCCCAAGAATCTTACAACAGGTGAAACTCGAAATATTCTAATTTTCTGAGATTGTGGATTTGGGGTTTTTATAAGCTGTAAGCCATAATCATCACAATTATGACAAATCATGGCTTGAACTATCTTGCTTTGCATGTAATGAGTTTATCTCATATATTAGTTTCACCTTTTAAGTTGCATTACTGAAATAAATTAACTTTTGCACGATATTCAAATTTTTTGAGTTTCACCTGTATACTGTATTTAACAGAGCTAAATTTTGCAGCACAGGTTAAAAATATTCAGTATATACAATGAGACTTGTATAGGGCCATACTGGATGTTGGAGATATATAGGATCAGAAACGACTGGAGCTGAATTGGAATGAGGAGTAGTATACATTGATACATATTTTCATGACTGCTGTATACCTTATATTTAAATTAAAAATCCAGCCTTTTGACTTGGATATGAGGGAGGGTTAGATCCTCTTATCACTTGGCTTAGATTAGCAAACACTTTTTCTTATCTGTGCCAATCATATGTAAGTTTTCTATCAGATAATGCACTTTTTAACCTTTGTATGTACCTTTTATAATTGGAAAATATTTAAAAAATATTACATAGTTTAAAGACAAGATATATGTCACCGGCCTGCTATTAGAACAGATTGTTGTACTGTAGTAACTAGGTGGAGAAGCACAGCAAAGTAGAGTTGAAATTATGCTTTTTATTAACTGGCTAGTATAAAAATTCAAGCTTTGAGACAGATCAGTCCTTTTACACAAATATAATATGCTTGATAAAACTTTTGAGCTGTCTCTGAAGCTAGTACTTAAAAAAAATACAAACTAGCTTATTATAGGTATCACCTTAGTTCTACATTTACCTGCCATTTGAAGTTTACTTGTTAATGGATATACGAAAGCCAAACTGTACCCTATATATTAAATTAAACATTGCTTTAAATGTATTCAATCTTTTTATGTTCTGTTAGAAAGACATGCACAGGCCAAAACACATTTTTGACACATAAAATACAATCTATATCTTTTTTTATAGTATATACAGTATGCTGATTTTATTCAGTCCCATTCAAATATCAGATTAATTATTATTTTAATAATCAGTCATTTTAAATTATTATACTATATGTTATGATACTCCAATACACTGAACGTTTATGGAAAAAGTTGTGATAGATTGTTTTAAATTTACAAAACATACAGCAGGTAGTATTATGTTTTGTTGGCATTTCTGCAGTCTATTATTTTATCTTTTTTTGACCACTGCCATTCTTCGCAGATTTCAAATTCCTTATGGAGTATAGCAATAAAACTGAGACTAATTATTTTTTCCTTCTTGGATTTCCATCTTTAATTGAACTACAAATTATATTGTTTATATTTTTTCTGCTTGCTTACATTCTTACAATATCTGAAAATGCAATTATTATTATAATGATAAGACTACATTCAAAGCTTCAGAAACCTATGTATTTTTTCCTAAGCAATTTGTCATTTCTTGAGATCTGTTATGTGTCTATTACTGTTCCTAAATTATTAGCAAACATTTTCACTGAAAATAAAATGATTTCTTTCTCTGGGTGCATGACACAACTCTTTTTCTTTATATCTCTTATGTGCACTGAGTGTGTTCTTCTTGCGGTAATGGCTTTTGACAGATACATTGCTGTGTGTCACGCATTACACTATGTTAGAATAATGAATCATAATTTATGCATTAAATTAGCATTGACCTCGTGGATATCAGGATTTACCATTACTGCAATAAAGATATATTTTATATCGAAATTATCCTTTTGTGGTCCAAGCATTATTAATCATTTTTTTTTGTGATATTTCACCAGTGCTTAATCTAGCCTGTATAGACATGTCAGAGGCAGAGTTGGTGGACTTTATTCTTGCTTTGGTCATTCTTCTTATTCCTCTGCTAGTAACCGCTGTGTCCTACCTCTGTATCATTTATGCCATTTTAAACATATCCACCACTGATGGAAGACAGAAGGCATTTTCTACTTGTGCCTCTCACTTATCTGTAGTCACCATATTTTTTTCAACCACACTCTTTATTTATGCCCGGCCTAAAAAAGCAAAGTCATCGGATTTAAATAAACTTATATCTCTTTTGTATGCTGTGTTCACTCCAATTATTAATCCTTTTATTTATTGCCTCAGAAACAAAGAAATTCGAGACATTGTAACAAAATATCTCTGTCGAACTGAAAAATACTCCAAATGCCTGAGATGTTAGTTTTGACATTGTTGCTGGAAAAAAACAGCAAACTAAAAATATTTCTGTTGTTTGCTCCTTTCTATTTAATATAGCTATAGGTCTTGGATGGCTGCTGGACTGGCAACCACAATGCAGCCAACCTATCTTTCGTAACAAAGAGGACAATCACAATAATGTAAATCAAAAATGTACCATTATCCCTCTATCTATCAATCTATGTCTATCACTCCATCTTACACTTAATATGTATCTCTGAGCCAAAAGTAAAGAACTTGATTCCACAAGTGTACATATTATTTTTTACGTTCAGATCAAACTGACAAGTACTTTTCTGGCATTGTTGATTGTATAACAACAAGCTTCAGCACCTCAGTCAATTATATGCCCAGACAAAAGTAATATACTGACCAACATTCTAATGCTTACCTATGCTCCCACTAAAGAGATTTTCCACCACTCTGTGTCCTGACAGGAAAATGAGGTGACATGTCTACAAAGGGCACATAGTTCACAGCAAAAAAACATGACAGTGGTACATTCCTTATCCTACACTAAAACTGAAAACAAAGTCTGTTGTAGGGCCTAGAGCAGTGGTTCTTAACCTTTTTGGAGGTACTGAACCCCACCAGTTTCATATGCGCATTCACCGAACCCTTCTTAATTGGAAAAATAAAATATGATTTTTAAAATTCAAAACATAGGTATATATTTATACATAGGTGCACAAAATGAACAAAACCATTAAGAACAAATAACAAAACCATTAAAACATGATTTTCACACAAAAACAAAATAATGAATATTTACCGCAAATCAGTGTGACTTCTGCTGTTGTCTTTCAGAGGCCAGTTCAGAAATGTGCGGCATTACCTTGGCAAGTGCCACTCTCATGTCATTTTCGCAACAAAGTCTGTTCCTTTTCTTCGTCTTTATGTCCAGCATCCTCGAAAAGGATTGCTCGCAAAGATATGTTGTAACAAACGGTATGAAAATTCATCCCCCATAGTAATTCATCCCCCATATAGTAATTCATCCCCCATATAGTAATTCATCCCCCATAATAATTCATCCCCCCATATAGTAATTCATCCCCCATATAGTAATTCATCCCCCATAGTAATTCATCCCTCATAGTAATTCATACCCCATATAGTAATTCATCCCCCATAGTAATTCATCCCCCCATATAGTAATTCATCCCCCATATAGTAATTCATCCCCCCTATAGTAATTCCTTCCCCATATAGTAATTCATCCCCCATATAGTAATTCATCCCCCATAGTAATTCATCCCCCATATAGTAATTCATCCCCCATATAGTAATACATCCCCCATATAGTAATACATCCCCCATATAGTAATTCATCCCCCATATAATAATTCATCCTCCATATAGTAATTCATCCCCCATAGTAATCATCCCCCATATAGTAATACATCCCCCATATAGTAATTCATCCCCCATATAGTAATACATCCCCCATATAGTAATACATCCCCCATATAGTAATTCATCCCCCATATAGTAATTCATCCCCCCTATAGTAATTCATTCCCCATATTAATTCATCCCCCATATATTAAGTCCCCAAGTCCCCCCTGTGTCAATTCACTTACCTTTGCTCCGCGCGTTCCTCTTGCTGTATTCCCGCGCCGTTCCGGTCTTCAGGGCGGACTGTGAGAGGAGCCTAGCTCCTCTCACGTTCGTCACGCTGCCCCGCCTACACACATCCTGACAGCCAATCACTGGCTATCAGGATGTGAGTGGCAGCGAGACTGGCCAATCTTTGCATTTGAGTCCCTGCCGCCCGAGAGGAGGGAGGGGAGCGGGCGCCCGGCACACAAGAGCCGTGGCTTGCCGACCACTGGGCATGTCTTCACAAATCATATGAGTCGGGTGTGGGTCACCTCCGCCGAACCGCCAAGACTGACTCACCGAATCCCTGGGGTTCGATCGAACCCAGGTTAAGAACCACTGGCCTAGAGCCATTTGGACACTTAAAAGAGAAGTATGGGGTTCTTTTTAAAAAAAAATATATATATATATATATATATATATATACACACACGGTTAAAATTAAATTAAAGGAACACTTTTTAATAAGAGTATAGCATCAAGTCAATTAAACTCCTGGGATAGTGATCTGGCCAGTTAAGTAGCAGAGGGGGTTGTTAATCAGCTTCAGTAGCTTTGATGTAGTTGAAATTAACAACAGGTACACTAGATGGGCAACAATGAGACAACCACTAAAACAGGAATGGTTTTACAGGTGGAGGCCACTGACATTTTTTTCCCTACTCATCTTTTCTGATTGTTTTTCACTAGTTTTGCATTTGGCTAGGGTCAGTGTCACTACTGGTAGCATGAGACGATACCTGGACACTACAGAGGTTGCACGAGCAGTCCAACTCCTCCAGGATGGCACATCAATATGTGCTATTGCCAGAAGGTTTGCTATGTCTCCCAGCATAGTCTCAAGAGCATGGAGGAGATTTCAGATTTCAGGAGACCTGCAGTTACTCTAGGAGAGCTGAACAGGGCCGTAGAAGGTCCTTAACCCATCTACAGGACCGGTTTATCTGCTCCTTTGTGCAAGGAGGAACAGGATGAGCACTGCCAGAGCCCTACAAAATTACCTCCAGTAGGTCACTGACCAAACAATCAGAAACAACTTCATGAGGGTGGCCTGAGGGCAAAATGTCCTCTAGTGGGCCCTGTGCTCACTGCCCGGCACCATAGAGCTTGATTAGCATTTGCCACTGAACACCAGAATTGGCAGGTCTGCCACTGGCACCCTGTGCTTTTCATAAATGAGAGCAGGTTCACCCTGAGGACATGTGACAGATATAAAGGAGTCTAGAGAAGCCGTGGGGAATGTTATTCTGCCTGTAACATTGTTCAGCTTGACCATTTTGATGGTGGGTCAGTAATGGTCTGGGGAGGTATATCCATGGAGGGAGGAACAGACCTCTACAGGCTAGACAATGGCACCCTGACTGTCATTAGGTATCGGGATGAAATCTTTAGAGCCATTGTCAGATCTTGCCCTGGTGCAGTGGGTCCTGGGTTCTTCTTGGTGCACGACAATGCCTCACGTGGTGAGAGTATGCAGGCAGTTACTGGAGAATGAAAGAATTTATACCATTGAATGGCCTTCACGCTCGCCTGACCTAAATCCAATAGAACACCTCTAGGATATCATGTTTCGGTCCTTCCGAGGCTGCCAGGTTGCACGTCAGACTGTCCAGGAGCTCAGTGATGCCCTGGTCCATTTTGAGTTGCTGCAATGAAATTTCAGCAAAATGGAGTAGCCTGCTGCATAATTTTTTCACATTGATTTTTGGGGTGTCTTTGAATTCAGTCCTCCATAGGTTGATAATTTTCATTTTCATCAAGCGATGGGGCATCCTTATGTTCCTAACACATTACCCAGTCTATATCAGTAGAGATATCCAGCATAATATACATCCCCATTGAGATCCGATGTGTTTTCAAAGTGTTTTTTGAGCAGTATGTGTGTATATATATATATATATATATATATATATATATATATACCTATATATATATACACTTTATTGTCAAAAGTATTGGGATTCCTGCCTTTACACGCACATGAACTTTATTGGCATCCCAGTCTTAGTCCGTAGGGTTCAATATTGAGTTGGCCCACCCTTTGCAGCTATAACAGCTTCAACTCTTCTGGGAAGGCTGTCCACAAAGTTTAGGAGTGCATCTATGGGAATGCTTGACCATTCTTCCAGAAGCTCATTTGTGAGGTCAGGCACTGAAGTCGAACGAGAAGGCCTGGCTCACAGTCTCAGCTCTATTTCATCCCAAAGATGTTCTGTCAGGTTGATGTCAGGACTCTGTGCTGGCCAGTCAAGGTCCTTCACCACAAACTCACTCATCTATGTCTTTATGGACCTTGCTTTGAGCACTGGTGTGCAGTCATGTTGGAACAGGAAGGGGCCATCCCCAAACTGTTCCCACAAAGTTGGGAGCATTAAATTGTCCAAAATGTCTTAGCATGCTGATGCTTTAAGAGTTCCCTTCACTGGAACTAAGGGGTCAAGTCCAACCCCTGAAAAACAACCCCACACCATAATCCCCCCTCCACCAAACTTTACACTTGGCACAATGCAGTCAGGAAAGTACCATTCTCCTGGAAAGCGTCAAACCCAGACATATCCATTGGATTGCCAGACAGAGAAGCATGATTCATCACTCCAGAGAACACATCTCCACTGCTTTAGAGTCCAGTGGTGGTGTGCTTTACACCACTGCATCCGACCCTTCGCATTGCACTTAGTGATGTAAGGCTTGGATGCAGCTGCTCGGACATGGA